CGGTAAGTTCTTATTTCTAACTCTTTTTGTTCGCGTTCCGCCCATTGAAAGACATGCGGGAAGCGCCTCAGCACGCACTCGTATCGCCGTGCTGCAGTGTTCTTCCGCATCTCTGTTCTTGCTGCAGTGTTCTTCCGCATATCTACTGCAGTGTTCTTCCATCGCCGCCACCATGGCAATGAACGTCGAATGACCTTTTTTTACGGTGCGTGTGTCACTGGGGAGCCTGTTAGCCCATCCCCTCGTCTGCGTTCACGCCGCTTGGCGGCGACAGACTGCGGCTGCTCATTACAAATCTATTGAACTTTGGCTAGCAGACGGCGTCCGGAAAATGGCGTCAGCTAGCTGTTGCTGGCTTCACGCGGCGGTACCGTGCGTACTTCCATTCATTGGGCGTTCGTTGCCTTGGTGACTCCGATGAAAGCAGACGGCCTTTATGCTGCGGAAGAACACTGCGGCGCAGCGATACGAGGTGCGTACTGAGGCCATTCCCACATGTTTTTCAATGGGCGGAACGCGAACGAAAAGAGTTCGAAATAAGGACTTAACGCATAAGGCTGGTTTTCTCCAGCGCCTCATAATATGACAAGCCTTACACAAAAAGCATGTTTTTAATCGGAGTTTGGAGTTTTTTTTTTTTTTTTTTTACAACAACAGGGGTTTAAAGTATCAGTGTGACCCCATTCATTCTGAAGCCGGTCATCCAGGAGCTAGGGAGCGAGAGTCTCACAAACGCGGTGCCACCACCGCCGAAAGTTGGAAATATCCTAGAAACGGCACGATTATTTTTCTCTTATCATCAGGAGCTCAGAACGCACAAAGAAAAAAGCGAACACGAAGAGAGGTAATAACTTACTCTGTTTTGATTTCCTTTTGCCTTCTTCGTGTCCTAAAATTACAGAATGTTAAAGCAAAGTTCGTGTTCTATTCCTGGATAATCTCACGTGCCGCAAATCGAAACGTCGCAATGCTTCGAGGAAATGGCGGGGGCGCAACACATTTCCGGAAAAATGTATTCATGCCTCGCCAGCAATCTGGGCTCACAGGCACCGCCGATGTCTGCCCCATGCCCCGCCGTTTTGAGACGTCCAAAACGGGGGTATCGGTGACCGAGTGGGCTAGCGCACACCAGCTCGGAACACGTGGAGCGAAAGCTCGGACTGCAGAACCCAGGGATCCTGGGTTCAGTCTCCACTCCTGCCCGTTTCGATCAGCATGAGCATCGTACCGGCGTGCGGTAGTGTAATCACTACTGCGTGGTACACGTTAAAGACCCCAGGCTAGCGGTTGTACTGCACTGGCTATATTGGTCATCTACAGCTGGGAGATGCGTCACCCGTTGAGGCAGACCAAGTTATAAGCTGATTAAACATGCACACATTCGATTTTTTTCTTAAGGCGGCCAAAATGAAGGTGGCGGCCATTTCTCCCCTCGCTAGATTTATTATGCGAACTGCGAGGTTTTTTTCACGTACGCGGCGTTTGAAAGAGGACTAGACAAACGCAAAATGTAATTGAAGAACGTAGACGATTTTACTTCCGTATTAAGTACAAAGAGGGCAAAGTACAAAGTAAAAGAAGACGATCAAACAACGGCGTCGTTGTTTGTCTCTCTTATTTAATTTGTCCGTGTCTTTGCGCTGTCTATACGTTTAACGAAATGTAAGTAAAATACGACATAGCGACCAGAGATAAAATCAGCGCCACTGTCTCGGCCCGGGTGGCACGATGTGCCTCCTATCACGCCTTTTCCCGCCCCTCGTCACGGGAAGTGCATAAAATGGTGGGTCTCGGTACGTACACGTCAGACCGGAAGTATAATAAGGCCAGAAAAAAGAGCTTTGCCGTCCTGATAGTAATCCCGGCCGCCTCCGGCCCGGAGCTTGCGTGGAAACGAAGGCGGGCGGCCGTATCTGTTGGAGGGCCCGAAATTTGCCCTCGTGGAAATTCGTCTGGTTTCCGACAGCCGGGCTCGAGCTTTTGGAGGCTGAAAAGGGAGTTTGTCTGACGGATGGCTTCCGACGCCGCTCTGGTGCGAGTGCCGGAGCGCCACTCGCGGGGCGTCCATCCTGACGGCCGATCGGGGGATCGGTCCCCGCTGGCGAGGGCGCACTCGGTGCCTTCGAGGACCTTGAGCGGCCTCCTTCAACTGGGAACGGCGCTCGAGAACGGCGCTCCTTTGGCCCCTGCGCGCCCCCTGAAAACACGTCTATGTTTGGCTCGGTCCAAAATCTCCAGATGCCCTTCCGAAGAACCAAGTCCCCATGCAGTGTCTGAGAATTGAGGACACCATGCATCATATCCGGACTGATGGAATTTCTAGACCACCTCGAGAGATAACTTTAAGTTAGCCCTACTACTTTCTGACACAGTCCCCGGCGACTGCGACACATTTTTCCCTTCTGGCTCCGCGCACCTGTACTCCGGCATCGCGGATTTCTGTTGGTTCCTTCCTTAACTATAAAAGCTGCCCGGCTTACAAAATAATGCAGAAACACCTTTTATAGCCCTCGTACTCTTGTTGACTTGTATGTGTATTGTTGTTTTTGGCCCCCTTATGTAAAGCCCCTACCGGGCGCTATAAGGGTATATTAAATGAAATGAAATTTACGTTTTAAGGGTTTGTAACCACTCTGAAAGGTGCAAGACGTGGCGATTTTTATATAGTGACAGGACGGGCATATTAACAATATATAAGCACTACCGGAATGCTGGCTAACCTTGAACCCACTCTACATTCCTTTCTATCGTTATTTTGCTTAGAATTGTCGCCTGTGTGTTCACACCTGCTATGGAGCGCAGGTTTGGGCTTGAAATAGAGCGAAGTTGAACATCGTTCAGTGATGAAGAAAAATGCGCAAAGTAAAGCAGTTACACTTTTATAATGTTAATCGAGGTACATACTATTCGGTACAACCCAAATAACAAAAGTGTTCCGCGATATTTTCGGGCGAAGAGACAAAATGCACGCGCGCTTTCTCATAGGAATGCACAGGAATGCACAGGAAGACTTGAGCGTGTTGGTGATCTACATTGACTTAAAACGAAAGAAACACACAAGAGGACAAAATAGACGACACAGCTTTGGCTGTGTCGTCCTCTTTCTGCCGGCCCCGCGAGTGGAGCTCCGGCACTCACGCGAAAGCGGCGTCGGAAGTCATCCGTCAGACGAACTCCCTTTCGTCTGTTTCGTCCTCTTGTGTTTTTCTTTCGTTTTAAGTCAATGCACAGGAGCTTCGGAAAAGTAGACCGAATGGGTCTTGTCTGCTTCACTTTCCATCCCGGTAGTTGCAAAGACAATAGCGCCAGTTGAACCTCTAGCGTACATTATAATAATCCTATGGACTGTGGACCACCTTTTTCTCTTTTTTGCAAACGCCACCAGGTAGTGCTCCACTCTTTCACGTCCCAGGGAACTTCCGGTCCACAAAAAGAATGAACAAAACCCACCTTAACAAAACGTCAATGGAACATTGAACCACCAATTCTCCAAACAAACGCAAAAAAAACAAACAACAACAACAAAGAAGCGCGAGACCTGTTCGAATTTTTTAAACGAAGTTGTGTCCTTCAAGGCGTCAAATTGTACAGCCCGAAGGCCCTCGTGTAGCATTTATGCTTTCTGGCACGGGTGTAGAACAAATGGTTCAGGAACAAATGGTCCCGGAACTAATGTTCCCGGAACAAATGGTCCCAGAAAAAATGGTCCTGAAACTAATGGTCCCAAGTCCAAGGTAGGAAAAAATGGGCCCGCAAGAAGATTGTTTTGAAGCCAAAATATACCATGCAATATATTTAATCCGTTATGCACACAGTGATTTGCTGGTGGAATGAAGGATCTCGTCTATATTTTGAGGCCGGCTGCTTCGAAGTAAGTGGTCGGGTATTGAACCTAATTTTATTCAAAATCGTCGAAATATTTTCGAAATGAATACTGTCTAACATTTATCTCCGAACTGTTAATTTAGTGACCTTATGCGATAAAATAGGAGTTATTACTATTTTCCTATAAGGGCCGTTAGAATATTTGTGATATCAGTAAGGCTCCTTTGAAACGAAAAAGGAGTACCCCTAGTCATACTGTTGAAGCCACATGAAACTCGAATTACTCCCATCTCGTCATGACGCGTAGTGGTAGCACAACGAGCGGAACTCGATGCCTTTATAGGTGCATTAAAATTCCATGCGCAAAAAAAAAAAAAAAAAAATTCTGAGCTTCCCCAAAAAATATAGAAACCGGTCGAGTTCGTGCAACCGGCTGCCTGGAAATTCGGCGAGAGTTATGGGATTTTCTCAGATTTATCCGAAAACGCAGAAGCCACATTGGCGATATTTATGTGGGACCATTTTTTTCCTAGTTTGTACTTGGGACCATTAGTTCCGGGACCATTTGTGGCGGGATCATTTATTCCGGGAACTTTTATTCCGGGACCATTTTTCTCGTTTCTCTTCTAGCACCGTTGACATAGGAAAGCTCAACAGTCTCGTAGAGGCTGAGAGACAGCGGATCATGTTTGGAAACAGTCCCAGGGTCGGTCCCGATGTGTGCAGCGAACGCCGTTTCTTTCGCGCGTTTTGTGAGACCTGGCTCTGGGTTCCATCTGAGGATGGGCGTTCTCCCTTGAGCCTGGCGGCGCAAGCCACGTGCTCGTCCGACCAGTCGGTCGTGCAACCGCGCAATCCGCGCACCGACAATCGCAGAGCTGGGGTGCTATGTCGCGCTTTTTGCATTCCCAGGAGGCTAGGGAGAAGGAAGTGACGTCAACAACGCAGCAAATGCAGATTGGATGTTGATTTTGTTTTCTTCTGTCAACATTCAAGCTGCGTTTGCTCCAGTCGTTGTCGTCACTTCCTTCTTCCAAGTCTCCTGGGAGTGCAAAAAGCGCCACATAGCACCCCTGGGCTGACCGGCGAGCGCGTGGTTAGCTGCAGTCGGTGCGAATGGAGTCGCTGCCGCAGACCCGTTGTTGATGGCTGGCTCGTTCGCTCGCAGGTGGACCATGTTCTGTTACCACTGTCCCATCGGCAGCCTGGGCCCAAGACCTCCTCCTCTGCCTTTCTCTGTTTACTCTCCGGGATCTCCATGTGAGTTTCTCGGGCCGTCCGGAGGCTCCTCCGGCGCTCCTTCGTGCGGGTCACCACCCGTAAAGCCACTCCATCCTGGGAAAAATGGCGCCGTGCATTGTTGGGGAGATGCTCGAGACACGTGCCGCGCGCCACGTTTGGGAAGAACATGGCGTCTGAAATGTAGCTCAGTGCTGCGCCGCCATGATCTTCCCAACGGCTGGCCTCGTGCAGCGACGTACCTCGCGCTACTTTTGAAACATGAAGGGGCTTTAGTCCCCAGACGTGCACGGAGAGCCCTGGTGCCGGTAAAATGCTCATTTCGCATTGGTCGCGTTAAAACGCTGCGGTGAAAGGGTGAAGCCGGTCGCTTAAAAGCTTCTCTGGCGCCTGCAACCACAACGCGGAGCGCACTGCTCTCGGCGTCCCGCCGGTGGCGCATGCTCAGAACGGGCTCGGTGCGCGAATAGCCCGCCAGGGGCGAAAGCGTCCGCGTGCACGCCTATGTCGAACATATTGTCGGCCCAAAAGATTGGAACGGTCCATTCTGACGCAGGACCGCTGACTGGCTTTCTCCCTTTCTTTATTCGCTCTATTACCTGGGGCCACGCATTTGCTTTTCATCGTTCATCGTTGGCGGTGCACCGAGAGCAAGAAAGCTTTTAGCTCGCGCATACACCCGTGCGGACGCTCGGAATATAAGGATATCTCGATTCGGGCTCCCGGTGAATTTCAATGTTCTTCGTGAATAAGGAATTCATCAGCTTGCGCAAACAGGGACTTGGAGATGCCGGGAGGCAAAGACGATCGCCGATTCTCCGTAGCCGAATGCTTCTCCGAAACTGCTTTGTGCTACGTTCCGAATCAATCATCTCGTACGCACTGTCGCCACGCACATTCAATTTAACGCCTGAAACATTTCAGGCGGCCATGGGTGTAGCTGCGCGTGCCAGCTCGCTTAAATTGTCGCAAAACGGGTTCTTTGTAACGAGTTTAAAACGAAAACATCTTCGTCATAGACGCTACTTTGTCCACGACGACGACGCCGCTTTGTCTCTCGTCCAACTTCCGCGTGTTTTGGGCACTAACGATGACGTCATGAGCCGTCCCAGAAGCCTTCCTCTCCTGTCAAGTTCTTGCGCGAGGACGCCTTGAAAGAAAACGGAACAAAAATACTAAAAGGAATGCGTCGTTTGCGTTTCGATCGCGGTTTTTTTTTACAGAACGCAGAGGTCGAGAGCGGCACAATTGTTTGCCCATTTCTTTTTTTTTTTATGGTTTTATTTGCGAATGGACAGGCGCTTGGTCCGTGACAGAGTGGAAAGCTCGTGCGCCGCTTTTATGGTCCCGTCTTGTGGCAGATTGTGGCAGACGGTGGCTGACGATGGCGGAGTGGCCGAACTTCGCAGCGCCCCCGTTCGCACAAGCAGACGCCAGAACAGAAGAACCGGACGTCGTGTCAGGGAAGCTCACGTACGCAATTCGCCCGAGCAACCGAGCCGGTCCAGTACTAATGGACGGAGGGGGCCTAAATAGCCTTCCGATACGCGAATACTGTGCCGAAAAAATGTCTTTCGAGGAAAGTTCATTTTGTAATATTCGGGCCATATCTGGGCACTTTAGAAAACATGCTTCTTGGGAGTTTCGTGTCCCTTTAATAGTAAATAAATGAAGATATGCGAACATACGCACGGGGAATGCGTCTGGTTTCAGCCGCATCAGTCAGACCTAGAGTTCCTGCATAGGGTACCTACGGGAGCCAGAGTTGCGCGTTAGTTTTCCACGTGCCGCCTCGCCGCTACTCACCGAGATCGATCACGTTAGGAGCAAATTGAATCCTTCGACGTTGCAGGCGCCCCGGTGCGTGTTCCCCCGCCTTTTGCTTCCTTCTACTCCTTTCCTGCTTTTACCCTAAGAAATGCCCGCGCCTCTTCTTACCGGGAAAACACTCGAAGAGCCAGTGTCTGCGATCTATGAAATCGGCTCAGCGAATGATGAGGCGTAACATCTATTTAGACCTAAAGATGAAGTCTGCGCTGTGGCAGTACGCAATGCAAGCATGACGCTTTGCATGGCGTAATGCCACAGCGCAGACTTCATTTTTAGGTCTAAACGGATGTTCCGCCTCATCATTCGCTGAGCTGATTTCGCAGATCGCAATGACTGGCTCTATGAGTGTTTTTCGGGTAAGTAGATACGCAGGCATTTCTTAGAGTGTTCCATGCGCGGCGGCAACGGCGGCGCCGCTATTCGCCGAATTCAGTTGACGCAATTGACGGAGCGCGGATTCTACACGCACGAGGAGTGGCCTTCCCACATTACTTAACATTTCAAGCTCGCCGAACGCGCAGCTCAGGCTCCCGCAGGGAACCTATACAGGAGTAGGGAATAGATGAGCTCCGTCTGCTACGCGCTTAGAAAGCTTTACGCCGGGAAATAGTTTTAGCGCAACTAGTCGACCCTGGCAAAGAACGAGCGTACGGCAATGTGCGGGTAATTTTTGCGGCGGGAACATCAGTTCCTTTTCGCGCCTCGGAATAAACGAATGTACGGGTCGAGGCCGAGGCGGAGACAAGCCGTCACCGGCACGGACCGGGGCTCCTCCGGCATGGACGCTCGAACGCGGTACGGCAGGCTCCGAAATTGGCGCACAGGCGGCACTTCCTCGGCTGCGAGCCATCGGCGCCTGCCCCGTGCTGCCCTCGCGTCGTACAGAGATTCGCTTCCAGCCGCTCCTAAGCGGATTTTTTCTCCCGGCACAAGAAAGAAAGTGGCATCAATTCCTCTCCTAAGGCGCTTCCTCCGTCATCGCGAACAAAGTACTCTGTGGAACGCAATGTGATTCAGTCGAGAGCGCGAATCGGGCGGCGTCCTCCTGGGCGTCGGATTACGGCCCCAACGTGCTTAGCGACTCGTCGGACGGCGGCAAATTCCTTTAGGCCCGGCAATCCCTTTGGCACCGAAGCAAGTTTACTCTCGCCGCTCACTCGAATCTCCAAATCGTTTGGAGCCCGCATTTCTTCCCTTCTTGATTTGTCTTTAAAGTACTTTCTTGGCCTATCTGCATATTATATGCTTACCCAGAGAGCTTGAGAGAAAAAAGGGAAAATGTAACATTCTTATCCCGGTTGGTGGCGTCCGGGTTTACAGCGCAAAGGACGAGGAACTAGATGAAGAAGTACGAAAACCGGGTGAAGCCACTCGACAGGCTTCAGAATGTAGACAGTTGATTCCCAAATTTTCTCATGGGCGCCGCCATTTCGTTGCTTAGTGCGCAGCGGGTGCCATTGGCTATAGTAACGTAGAACCCCTCGATAGGTTTGTGTTTGTTTCGTCAGTAGCGTCAAATGCACGATCAACCATATATATATACGACCATGTCACCCGGAGCGCGCCTAGGGAGAGGTACAGGGGCATAGAGCGATAGACTGGAATCCCGTTCACCAGGCAAAAGCTACCCCCCTTAGCTGCCGCTATGTTGTACAATTCTGACCACTAGACACGTGACCGTACCACATCCTAAAGATTTTACGCAAAAATGAGCTGAAATCTGTATTGCGATCGCTGTAAAAAACATGATAAACTATTTTTCATTACTGTTAGCCCCAGAGATCAGTGTCTAGCTCCGTCAAAAACCCAAAATACAGCACACAGTTTGGCGACGTCTAGCGGAGCCATTGCGAAGCTGCCCGAGTTTTTGTGATGGAATCACAATTTGCTTTTAAAACGAATGAAACGTAACCTGTGCGCGGTACTTCGTTGAAATCTAGACGTGAAACTATAAGGTGTCTAGTGGTCAAACATGTGCAACATATGGCAGCGGCTAATTGGGGGTCACTTTCAGCTTCCAGTTTATCTCTCTAGGGCCCTCTACCTCGTTGCCCCTGGCCAATATACGCGCCGTCCCACTAGATGTTGCCATAACTCCGCTGTTCAAGGCCTGCTACAAATACTCGGGAACGGGCTCGGACACGTCCGGCGTGGTTGCAAATTGTTTATTAATGGTTTGCTCTCCTGCCATCATTTAAACACGAATTCACCGAATGAACGACACTCAAAGTTCCATTTCGCTCTACAGGGTGTCGTAAAAAACTCACATAAATAAGCTAATGAGCAGAGTGCCATGACAATTTTCACAAAAGTGCCTTTAGGTGGTGCATTTATCATACTGAATTTCCGTGACTATAGGTTTTTGGAAAGAAGTTCGAGAAAATAAAGTCCTGTTTTTTTTTTCTTATGAGCGGGACAAAAATATAAACAAACCGTTGGGTTGACGTTGCTCTTCGAATATGCTACCATACACGCCCAGATCTTCTGAACCTGTTTTGGGGTGTTAACACCTAAGAATATTTCGAGTTTTTTCTATCGTGTGGTGCCATACGTAAATAGCAGCGTCAACACGACTGTTTGTTTTTATTTTGCTACCGCGCATAAAAAAAGAAAGAACTTTTGATATATTTGCATTTTCTCCCAGACATTTACACTCCCACATTTTGAGTGTGATCAATGCACTACCTAAAAACACGTTTGGGAAAAGTTTCCTGGCACTCTGTTTTCTTGCTTCCTTTTACGATTTGTTTTTTACGCCCGATTTATCTCGAGAACAGCACGTAGATGGGAGATGAAATAACAAATAAAAAACATAACGTCTCTAGGATTGCGTTGAATCCAAATTTTATGAAATTAATGTTCTAGAGATTTTGCATTCAGAATACCTGTTTGCCTTCCATGAACTTACGAAAGACCATGGTTGGATTTCAAGCGAGAAGCCCATGTGAGCCAGCGCTCCAAGTGGGCGCGCATTCTCTGCCCAAACACCTCAAACAAGTAATTTGTAAAAAAAGAGAGAAAGACATGAAAGACTTCGAAATTTATAGGTCTGCGATTTCAAAACGAAGTCTCGTGGACTCAGCCTATTGAACTGAGCTGATGAACTGGGTATATGAGCGTTTCAGGGGGGTGTTTGGATGAATTATTGATTAGTGCTGTACAGCATGACCGCCAACTTTAGAGGTGTTCAC